CTAGATAATTTCATGGAGGTTAGGTCCATAAAAGGTTATTAGCTAGGGGACAGAAATGGTGTCCCTGGCCTCTGTTTGTCAGAGGCTGGAAAAGGATGGCAGGAGATAAATCGCTTGATTATTGTCTTCGGTCCACTCTCTCTGGGGCACCTGGTGCTGGCCACTGTCGGCAGACAAGCTACTGTGCTAGATGGACCTTAGGTCTGACCCAGTACGGCCGTTCTTATGTTCTAACCTGAGTCACCCTTTTTAAATTATCCTTTTCACCTGAAACCTTCGAATCATCACAGCACTAGTATTGATAACCCCATATATCTGTCACTGCCACTCTGACCCCCCGCGCCGCCTGGCAGACCCATTTGCTGAGTCCTATCTCCAGCATCCTATCTCATGCTGCTTGGCACTTTCTGTTGTGAAAAGTGGAACAATGTGCTACTCAACCTCACAGTTAGATTGCTCTTTCGGGGCAAGGATTGTCTTTAAGTGCATTTGCAAAATGCTTAGGGCAGGAGGGCCCTGATCCTGAATGTGGCCTCAAGGACTGGCTATGATACAAGTGGTATCGACTAACAGAGAGGTTACACGCTTCAGTGGATAGAAGACTAGCCTGAGGTCAGGAGACAGGCGCCTCTTCGAGTAGTGTCCCCGTGGGTGCTCCACTCTGTGCGTAGATGGGTGGAGCACCCATCGGGACACACATCTCGAAGAACCACCATTACTGGACAGGGTGAGTAACTCTTTCTTCTTCTCCTAGCTCTGACAGGTCACTTTTCTGTGCTGCAGTTTCCTTTCTCACCTGTTGTCTGGCCTCCCTAGTGAGATGATACACTCTTCTCGGCAAGGATGGATTTGAGTGAGGAGTTTATGCAGTGCCTAGAACAGGGAGACTCTGATCTCTGTTGCAGCATCCTGCACTCCTGTAGTATAATGATTTTTACACACACACACACACACACACACACACACACACACACACACACACACAACATGCCAGAATGAAAATTGTCTGTGCAATCTTGATTTAGCCCCTTTGGTTAGAGCTGTATAAATAGCTTAACATTCATTTTGCTGCCTGAACCAAAAAAAAATTTTTTGAGTTAACCTGAAATAATTTTTTGGATGGGGAATGGTTCTTGAAAGAATGACACCCCCACCAAGCAAATTAATATATAGTTTAGCAAAATGCTTTGTTGAATCCAAAATGATTTTGTGGGAGAGACACCATTTCTTTTCAGTTAAATTTAGGTAAACTGAAACATGTATTGAAAATGAAGAAAAAATGTTTAAGAACATAAGAATGGCCATAAGAATGGTCAGACCAAAGGTCCATCTAGCCCAGTATCCTGTCTTCCAACAGTGGCCAATACCAGATGCCCCCGAGGGAGGGAAAACAACAGGTAATCCTCATGTGATTCCTCTCCTGTCATCCATTTACAGACAGAGGCTAGGGACACCATTCCTACCCATCCTGGTTAATAGCCATTGATAAACCTAATCTCCATGAGCCTTTCTAGATCTTTTTTGAACTCTGTTAAAGTCCAAGCCTGCACATCTTCTGGCAAGGAGTTCTACAGGTTGACTGTGTGCTGAGTGAAGAAGAACTCCTTTTGTTTGTTTTGAACCTGCTGCCTATTAATTTTATTTGGTGACCCCTAGTTCTTATATTATGGGAATAAGTAATAGAAATGTAGCCGTAACTTTTCCTTATTCACTTTCTCTACACCACTCATGATTTTATAGCTCTCGATCATATCCCCCTTAGTCTCCTTCTTTCTAATCTGAAAAGTCCAAGTCTTTTTAATTTCTCTTCATATAGGACCCATTCCAAACCCCTGATCATTTTTGTTGCCCTTTTCTGAACCTTTTCCAATGCCAATAGATCTCTTTTGAGATGAGGTGACTATATCTATATGCAGTATTCAAGATGTGGGCATAGCATGGTTTTATACAGAGGCAATAAAATATTCTCTGTCTTATTCTCTATCCCTTTTTTAATGAATCCTAACATTCTATTTGCTTTTTTAACTGCCACTGAACACTGAGTGGATGTTTTCAGAGAATTATCCACAACTCCAAGATCTCTCTCTTGAATAGTTACAGCTAAATTAGTTCCCATCATATTGTATGTATAATTGGGATTTTTCCCCCAATGTGCATTACTTAACATTATCAACATTAAATTTAATTTGCCGTTTTGTTGCCCAGTCACTTAATTTGGTGAAATCTTTTTGAAGCTCTTCACAATTTGCTTTGGTCTTAACTATCTTGAGCAGTTTGGTATCATCTGCAAATTTTGTCACCTCACTGTTTACCCCTTTCTCTATATCATTTATAAATAAGTTGAATAGGATTGGTCCCAGGACAGTCCCTTAGGGGAGTCCACTCCTTACCTCTCTCCACTCTGAAAACTTACCATTTATTCCTACCTTTTGTTTTCTATCTTTTAATCAGTTATCAGTCCATGAAAGGACCTTCCCTCCTATCCCATGACAACTTACTTTACTTAAGAGCCTTTGGTGAGGGACTTTGTCAAAGGCTGTCTGGAAATCTAAATTACTATTTTCACTGGATTCCCCTTGTCCACATGTTTGTTGACCCCCTCAAAGAACTCTAGCAGATTAGTGAGGCATGATTTCCCTTTACAGAAACCATGTTGACTTTCCTCCAACATTTTTTCATTTAAAAATTGTTAGAAATGAAATATCCTAATTTTTTAAATATTATTTTATTTAGTTTTTCAACCACAACTATTCACTAAATTCAGCATGAATTGGTTAAAAAAATTGGTTAATCTGAAACTGCTTTTTTGGTGAACAAAATATATTTGTCCAATTTTTTTGGTCCAGCTGTAATTATGAGGCCATTTGTAATGCCATGATTACATATTATTTTTTCCACAGGATCCTTGCCTAATTTAGTGTTCTCACCCCCAGCTGTAGTAATAATGTTTCAAATTGCACATGCAGAAGTTTTGAAGGTTCAAATAATGGCACATACGTTTCTGTGGGCACACAACCAGAGGCTGGGTCTGAAAACGTGGCCCTTAATCCTCACAGCTATTCTTAAAGTGCAGCTACTACACAATCAAAAAAAGTGACAATGAAAATGACATCTTGATTCTCCCAATCTATTCCCCCAAGGACTCCCATATCAAATTGGCTTACTTTAAAAGTCAAAACAAGTCGTCTCTAATTGTCACCACTGCCTGGTGTCTGAAAATCAAGCTGTTTTCTTTCTGCTTTGCACATTAGCACCAGATATAAAGATTCCAGATTCTGAATCTAATTGGCAATTCTCTTGATGATGCACATGGTAAAATAGAAACCAGCTTGCTCCTCAACTGCTATATTGGATCTGGAACACTGACAGCAGTAAAAATTATCTGTCACTTAAATAATCAGATACTATATGACTCAGAAGATGCAGAAAGAGGAGAGATGAATAGGACCAAGGTGCTATTTTTCTTTGCTGTCAGATTTCTAAGGTCAGGGGGAGCTAAGGAAAGTGATTAAGACACTTGCTGCATGAAGGTGCACTTGTACTGGGTGACTGACGGATGTGTTCAACTGCACAATAGTCCTGCCTTGGGAAGAGGTAAAGTCCCATTGCCTGAGACTTTTTAAAAGTAGGCTGGACAAACCACTAGAAAATGGGCATTAGGGCAATCCTGCGATTGGCATGGGGACAGGAGTGGATAACAGGCTAGTTTCATTTCTATGGTCTGTGATTCTAGCAGCCAAAGTGTTGTCAGTTTCAGAGACCCTTACAACATCTGCAGGACAAGCAGAAGTAAGTTTGAAGGCAGTGGTGCAAGTGGGTCGGGCCAGGATGGTACGCCAAACCAGCAAGTTATTTTTAGCCAGTATGAGGTACTGAAAGGCTCCCTGCTGACCAGCCCCAACCCCTCCACTGGCTGCCGCATCTCTGAGTACCAGGCTGGGGCTGGGAGTGCTATGGCAGCCTAAGCAGCTGCTGGCATTCTGCTCCTTTCTCCACAGCCCTTCCCAGTTGGGAAAGGAGCAGAACAGCCACCTCCTACCCCCAGCAGTGGGCAACCTAGATGAGTGAGTGGGCTGCATTAAGTAGCCCTCCTTCATCTCAGTGGGCCGCAAGAGTATCATTACCAAGGGAGTCTCCTGGGATGGGGTAGTTTTGCAAACTACTCTCACGTTTGTGGGGGGTGCTGACGGAACCATATTAGTGCTTTGATTGGAGGCAGAGGGAACTCACGGGTCTTGCAGTCACAGTTCTGTGTAATCTGCATACACCTCACCTCATGTGCCCTTGCTTTATGCATGTGTCCCTTTAAATAATATGGGTAGGAAAAAAACTACCCTGATGGAAACCAGTGTAACCTGGTAACCCTGTGCCTGGGCAATGGTAAACAAAATGACTCATGGGCCATACATAGAACCCCAATGCGCTGCATGAGACCCACAGGCTGCAGGTTGCCCTCCACTGCTGTCCACCGAGAAGGGGCAGGGCTGGGAGGGGCAGGGAGAAAGGAGCAGAACTGCAAGCAGCTCCTCTAGCTGCCATACTACCCCTGACCCTCTGCCTCCCAGGGAACGTGGGATGGGGAGAAGAGGGAAAGAACATGGGGCCCCAGGCTGGGGGCGGGGTGGCATCATGTAGGCACTCACGTGGAGAGGACATGTGCCCTCCCTTAATTGGTGTGCCTTCCCCATCCCACCCAGTAAGAACTTTTGTTTACTTGCACCACTGCTTGAAGGGAGTCCGAGTGCAGTTTGAGTGCTGGCCAATGGCGAAACACGTATGTTTCACCCCCTCATCCTCTAGTGGAGATGCAACACCAGTCCCCACTCCAGCTGCCTAGGAGCCTTGGTCCCAAAGCTTCCCAGCATTTTCCTTGAGTTAGCGCTGCTGGGCGCAGCCCTCCATGCTGGGGTAACTAATAGTCATGAGACAAACCAAAGGATCTGTCTTTTTCCACTAAGGAAATCAGCATTGCTACTGAACGCCATTAGGAGGGAACTCACGGTTGGTCGTTTCCACTGTATGTGGCTCAGCTTGTCTTCGGAAAGCAGACTGAAACCAATGGAACTGACATGTGCTGGGAAGGTCTCATCTTCAAACAGCAGGCGTCGTCTCAGGCAGTAGTCTCTCAGTTGGGTAAAGTCCTGATTCTTAAATTTCTGGGGGTTATGAAGGCTTCCAGCCCTCCCCTTGGTTTGCCTGCCTGGCTGTAGCTTCTGATACGGGTCACCAGGGGCAGGCATCATGTCTCTGACCTGTGGAGGAGAAAAAGTGTCAGCTACTGTTAATGGCCTCATCTGAACACTTCCCACCAAGCACACTGAGACAGTGAAAGTGCCCAGAGTAGAGCACCTGCTCACACCCCTGGAAGAGGTAGTAATCACAAAATCCTTCCTACCTGGAAACACCTGGGGAATAGGAAGTGGTAAAATCCCACCTGGCTTTATCTGAAACAAGCAGAGCCATTGCTTCAGATTCAATTCTAAGTCTTACTGGCCGAGCAAACCATCCAAGAATCCCTGAACTACTACAGTGTTCTATAGGGAATCTAAAAGAGCAAGAGGTCTGGGATGCAGAAGCTCTGGGCAATAAGGAAGGGAAGGGAATATCACTGTTGGGAGGATGTTACATGAGAAGCTATGGTAACCCAAGACATTTGTAGTGGGCCCCAAAAACACTTTCCACTCTTGGTGACTTTCGGGCATGGTGTATTTTTGTGGGAGCTTATTTTTATCTTCTGAGCTCCTTGGACTCTAAATGCTTGGTTGCTCAGTCTACATTTAGATGCATGTGGTATTGTATAACTGAGAGCACTAATGGAGACCAACACGTCTTCCTGCACCATTGTCCTGCCTCAGGGTCTGGTGCAAAGTCCATTGATGTCAATAGGAAGACTCTCAGGGATGTCTGTGTCTTTGGCTCCATATCTCATATGATTCAGAGGAGGGAAAAACAGCTCTAGATCCCAATCTGCATTTCATGCACCTTTCCAAAGTCTTGGGGATTTAGATCCATTGAATCAATTGGAGAGTTGAATTAGGGCTTTAGCTGTAAAGTTAAGGGTCATATCAAGATTTGGAAAGCCACTGCTCTGCTCAGTGTTTAGGTCTCTCTCAATTGGAAATATCTTCCCTCCTACACAAAGAGCAGCTAGGAAAGGCTCTTCCTGACACAGCTGGGTGAGATTCCTCTACTTCTTGGCTGACAGACAGGGCACTGAGCACTGCTGCTGGTGAAGAATTCAAGTAGAAGTAACCAGTGTTGTTCCCACTGTGTCACGTGGCAGGCTGCTAACCTGTGTGCCAGGACTGGAGCTGAGGTGCTATTTTTAGTATCCTGGCCCCAGCCCAAGAGAAGCTGCACTGCAGCCTGGCTTCAATCCTGGCACATAGGCAGCCACCTGCCATGCAGCCCTCCCCACCCCCACCCCCAAAGTAGATGGGGCTGGGACCATGGTACTAAAAATAGCACCGCAGCCCCAGCTCCAGTCCCGGCACATGGGGTGTGGCTGGAAAAAAAACCCTTCCTCCATAAAAGCTTTCAAGGGCACTGTTATCCCAAAGCTCACATTTCTGCATCAGATTTCAACCTCAATGATGTAATTCTGATTTTATCTAAACCATTTCCCCAGTATGGACCATTCCTTTGAGCACTATCCTTCATTACAAACACCCATTTCCCTCAGATTCCATGTCTCTTCAGGACCATATTTTGTTTTTAAGCCCACTGCTCACTATGAGTAGAGGATTCATAGATTTTGAGATAAAAAGGGATCATCATGATTATTCAGCCTGACGTCCTGCATAACAAGGGACAGAAAGCCTCGCCCAAGTAAGTCCTGTGCAACCAATGGTCTTCTGTTTGAGCGATACAAAATATTCAGTGTGGACTAAAAGTCTCCAGGTGACAGAGAAGCCACCATCTCACTTGGTAGATGGTTCCAATGGCTAATTACTCTCACCATTAAAAGTCTGCATCTCACTTCTAATTCAAATTTTTCTGGTTTCAGCTTCCAAGCACTGGAGCTGGGTATGCCTTTTGTGCTGACTGAAAGACACCTCCATTATCAAACAATCATTTTTATTGATTTGATTCATGCCCCCCCAACACTGTCCAAGGAGAGCGGAAGCTGTGATATTCAGATGAGAGCCTGGCTTCTGTTTTCCTATGAACATTTTACATGGGGGTATTAAAAACTTAATCTACATTCAATAAAACACTTAATAGAGCTTTCCCAAGTTTGTACAGAGTATTATTGCCCTTCTGGGTGGTTAAAGTCCCTTTCGGCCATGTGCCATGGCACTCGGGACCTTTAACAATCGCTTGGAAAGACAAGGAGAGTCTTGTCTTGTTTAATTTAAAAAAGCAATTTCACATAAACAAAATCAGATGAAACTCAGATATAGCCCTCAGCTGACATAGAAAGAGATGATTCCTTTTGGACTTGCATTTTTCGATACAGGGGAAATAAATCTCACGTAATATACTATAACACGACAGGGAATGGGTTCTCTTTAACAAATACTCATTTGAAACAGTACCTGGGCCTTGTGCATGCAAAGATCTATTTCCTGCAACAGTGTTCCAGCCAAACTGATTACTAATTCCACAACTCAAATTAAAGCTAACAGAGCTTGAAGGCTGGGGCTGACGCACGCTCTCTCCCTCTTCTGATGGAGAACGAGAGTTTTTAGCATGCCTGTTTGTGCTTAATTACATTGTTTAACACACTGGGAATAATTTAGCAACTGGCATGAAGAAGATAAGACAGTTAAACTACCTTCCTCCTGCAGAATAACTTCATCAGCTTTGCAGGAATCATGTTTGGATATGCATATGCCCAGGCATACAAGATATTGCTCTGGCTGGCTAAAATTTACCCCTGAAAGGCCCAGGATCCATTTGGCTTCCACTTAAACTGGCAGGACTCAATCTTACACCCATTGAAGTCAATGGTGCAGCTCCTCTTCACTTCAACGAGCAGGATAAGACACTACGACCCTGACTTTCTACTGGCTGACACGGTGCATAGTTATGTACGCCTGTGCAGAGTGGGCATAAAATGATGCCATTCTTATCTTGCAGCATCTTACAATCACTTTACACTAATGTGAAAGAGAATTTGTTAGGCCCCAAATGTATCCTAATTATTCTTGTATGTTTGATATTCAAAGACAGCTGCTACCTAATGGAAACTGAGGCAAACTTCCACAGGACTAACCTAATGTTGGAGTCTCAACTCTGAGGAAGTTTAGGAATGCTGTGAGATTCTATTTGGGCACAAAAACATAGCAAATAGGTGGTACGTGCAGGGCGATGGTGAATTAGGCTTTTGGGGTTTAAGTGAGACTTGAGTGTTGTGTTGTGCTGGGCCCCTCCACAAGGAGGAATTTCACTCTGTGAGCATTAAGAAGGTTGCTTCAAACCAACCTTGGTTGGAGGAGGCAACGCATGGTACTTTGAAGTTATTGACCATAACAAATTGGCTCCTCCTTCATCAAAGGGAAAGAAAAAAGCTATCAAGATCGGTAAGTCAGATAGTATTTTTTCACACACACCCTGCCTAAGTGATCACATAATTAAAAACAGTCTCATAATGCATATGCACAAGGATGCGGAGTTAAAGTTGCAACAGCAAACTTCATTCTGGCATTTCCTATCTTCTGAGTGTTTGGTTTGCAACCTTAGGATGTGTCTAAACTACAGGGTTTTGTCGACAAAAGTGGACTTTTGTCGACAAAACTATACCTGCGTCCACACTGCCTTTGAGTTATGTCGACATAACGTCGACAAAACTCAGCAGTTTTGCATCTACACTGTCCTTTGCGTCCACACAGTTATGTTGACAAAGCAGCTTGCTTTGTCAACAGAACTGGATGTAGTCTAGACGTTCTTTGTCGACAGAAGCTGCGTCAACAGTATCTGTCGACAAAACTTCTGTCGACAAAACCCTGTAGTCTAGACACACCCTAACTGTTGTTCTATTATTGTTTTTGGTGCAATATTATATACATCAATACTCAATGGCTCTTTCTGCCATTTTCCACTGAGTCTGAAGTAATAATGAGCAAGCAGGCAAGAAGAAACATTTTGTTCCTACTTCATATTTGAAATATTCAGCCTCTTTTATTGCCCTCAGACAGTTTTCCCAATCCAGCTTTTAAAAATACTTCTATCAAACGGTGGCCTATTTGGTGCTCTGTCTTTTAGGGGAAAACAATTGAACTTAGCCTTACAGATTGTGAGAATTCTGAGAAATCAACAATCCATTATGCAATAGCAGGCAAAGTCCTTTTTTGTTAGACTCTGATCTACTCTAAGGATCTCATAGTCCTTTAGAAAAATGAATTAGCTTCACGGTGCACCTCTAAGGTACAAAAGCATTACCTGATTAACCCCATCCGCATTGAACAGATGTACAACATTGCCTCCCAGGTGCTCTGTATGAACGCCAATAATACCATTGGCCATCAGACAAAATCTTCATTGCGATTGTCATTCTAGTGGGGGGTCACCTTTCCAGCGACACATGACATGGCCTTCTGTCTCTTAACTGTCTGTGAGCAATTCTCATACACTATTCTTCAAGTCAAGTTTCCTTCATTTTATATATACAACATAGGACATGGCTAATTGCAACACTTAACTACAGCATACACTAGCTGTGTGAAGATGTCATGATTTAGGATCTGCACTGCCAATTACTTCTGATAATTTACCATTCCACAGAGTGATTCTTTAGAGGAAAGCAACCCCATCTTGCTTCTTTGAAAACACCACTTTGTCGCTCTCATGTTGGAATCAGGTAAGCAAATTCTCCAGGTAACATTATGCCTGAAGCACTAAATTAGAGTCCCAGCCTTTCTCCCCCAAGCCAAATCCCTTCTGAAGCATCTGTGATGATTTTCCAGAACCAGTATTTCTCCTATTTAATCTTTAAATAAGTAGAAAAGCAAAGGGAAATGTTACCTGCAATGGCTCCCTTGAAAAGGTGACAGACATAGGATTTTCAAGTTTGTTCCTGTGCTGCTTTATATAAGAATGGTACCACCTCCTTGAGTAAACACTGCCAGGTTTAATATCAGGTCAGGATCAAATAGCATACACAGTGCAGGTGCAGCAGGGCCATAGTACACATCTCTTCAATTTGACCTCCATAGTGATCCTGTTTGCTCTCCTATACTAGATGATGGTTGATCTCCAGTGGTTTTTGTTACCACAGGGAATGGTTTCTGTACTGCTGCCAGCTTTCATTTAGTCTGTTTTCCTCTTGGCTCCTCCAGGAAATGCAGAGGTTATAATTACAGGAACAGGGCATAAGAGACGGACTCACCACAAAGCATACAATCTATTATAACGTATCATTCTTCTACCTGTATTATGATAAGATGGCATTTCAGGTCAATATTTATTGATGCTTAAAATCTAAATCCTTTGCGTAATTATAGGTCTACTTCCTCATTGCCTCACTCACTCAGGTAGTTCCATTTACTTTCTATAGTACTACTAGAGCACAAAAGGATTATTCATGTGAGAAAAGATGAAGTACCAATCCTAGAAAACCTAACACTGCCTGAAGCCATTGTTAAAAATGCACTCAGCAAATTGTAATCAGTTGTTGGGAGCCCAACTTGAGACATCTAAAAATCAGGCCTATTTTAGACAAGATGTGTTTAGCACTTTCTGAAAATCAGGCTCCTTTAAGGCATCTTAAAATAGCCATCCCAAAACTGAGCCAGCCAAATCACATATCACTTTAAAATTGCAGGCCAAGATATTCAAATCTTAACTTCAGGCTATAGTGTATATAGCCGTACATAACTATTGATATGTAGCCCAAAGTTAAGATTAAAATAACAGGCCAAAATTTTCAAAAGTGATATCTGATTTGGCTTCATTTATCAAGCCCTAAAAACAAGTAACTCCATATTCTGGTGAAAAAAAATCCAGACAGCTCTATAGGGGAGGAGCTGACTGGCTTCTGCAGCTGAATCCCCAGCTGTCAAGTAGAAAAATCATTCTACCTTTCAAACGATTGCATCATTCCATAAAAGTTGCATAGAGGCTGGAGGGAACAAGTAAATACACAGACACTTAAGAAAGACAGCTTTTAGCGACATGGCCATGTTTGACAGTCATGTCACTAAAAGTTGGGCAGCGTAGCCTCTGTTCGTTGGTTCTTCTGCGGACAAAATACTTTCACACTCAATGAGCGGTGTTTGCTTTGCCGGCAGGTGAGTATTCACACTAATTGCAGCAGCAAAACTTTTGTCTTTCTGTGTGTCATGGAGGGGTGGGGGAGTTAAGCTATTCTAAAGGACAAACATTTTCTTGTTTAATTGCCAGTGTAGACATAGCCTTAGTACACAAGGTTACAAGCTTAATCACCATGGCAAGTGCTTCTTAGTAGTGATAAGTTATGTTCATGAGTCGCTCAGGATGTTCTTCAGTATTGTGGTTCGAGATGGAAACAATCACCCCACAGTTCAGATCCTTATCCCAAACTTATCCAAACTACCTGAAGTTCTTGGGCATAAAATTGCTTTGGGACAGGCTTCCTCTTCATTCTGAGTGGGCAAGAATCCCAGAAGCACAGAGCAAGGAGAAAATAAAGAACAAGGGGTATAGGTGCTGGAACTAGTGGTGCTGCCGCACCCCCTTTCTTGAAGTGGTTTCCATCATATACAAGATTTACAGCTGGGCTCTCAGCTCCCTATCCCACTATCTAAATTGTTACGGCATGCCTGACAGAGGGGGAAAAATACATTAAGCAAATATTTCAGCCTCTTCATCAACATTCAGTTCAGGACTAGACCATCGGGGGGGGGGGGGAGGGGGGTATCAGTGTTCCACTAACAAAGTGTCTCCATCTTGACTGCTTCTTACCCTGTGAATATTTTGAATCAGAGTCCTGTTCTCCAGTGATTGTGGTCAGTGATGTCAATGGGAAATGCAGGTGTGTAACTGAGCACAAAACGGACCCAAGAGTACAAAACAGGTGCAGTTTTCCTTTAAGAGCTGTGTTGCACTCATCCCACATAAATAAAAGCTAATTGCACCAAAAGCAGGAAGGAAAGTTCCTTTCATCTCAGGCAAGGAGCACTGACGTGATAAACACCACTCCTGCCAGCTCATCTGACAACACATGTGCTCTGTTAATCACCTGCTTTCTGGGGATATGGCAGGTATATTTGCCTCCAGGTATTGTGATTCATTGTCTGGAACCAATATCTCTGCTTAAATGGTGGATTAACAATGATTTAAAAAATATTCATTGCAAAGTTGATTAGAAAGCACCATCAGCCGCCTGGCAGGGGATTTCAGTTATTGCAGCACGACAACGTTCTGTGACTGTCAGTTTTTCTGTGGAGGGTTGTATTGATGTGTCCATTTTCACAGTGGCTTAAAAGTACTCAAACCCAGGAAGCAGAGAGACTTATTTGTGTTAACGAATGAGTGGATTATTTGTTCTGTGAAGCATTTGTGATGTTTACAAGAAATCCACGAGATGACTAGGCTAACGGTTGGAAAGTACAGAACCATGAATCAGAAGACTCAAGTTCTATTCTGTCATTGAACTGCTGCATGACCTTGGCCAAGTCACTTATACCTCTCTGTGCTTCAGTTTCTCCTTTTGCAAAATGGGAATACTTCTGGTGATCTGCCTCAGGAGGGCGGTTATGTGAATTAAGTCATTAATGGCTGAAAAGTGTTTTGGGATCTATAGATGTGCAAAACTCACTGTCATTTCCAGGCTATCAGCTATTATCTCTGGGTTATAAAAAACCCCCAAAGATGAACAACTACTCAAGTCTCATTCAGCTATAAATCCTATTGACATCTGAGGGCCAAAAGCTGAGAGGGGCTGGGAACTGCAGTTCCCAATGAAATTAATAGCACTTCTGGATTTGGCCAGATAGAAGCTTTTATTGAGAACAAACTACATTCTGGGGGTATGTCTACACTACCCTCCTAGTTCGAACTAGGAGGGTAATGTAGGCATACCGCACTTGCAAATGAAGCCCGGGATTTGAATTTCCCGGGCTTCATTTGCATAAGCGGGGAGCCGCCATTTTTAAAACCCCGCTGGATCGAACCCTGTGCAGCGCGGCTACACGGGGCTCGAACTAGGTAGTTCGGACTAGGCTCCCCATTTTAATGGGTCACCAGGACTGGTGTTAGACTTGCTGAAACTCAGGGCTGAATCCAAAGTCCAAGCCCCCCTGCCTGGGGCTGAAACCCTCAAGCTTTGTCATTCCCCAGGGCACTGGGGCTTGGGTTTATTCAATTCTCCAAGTACACTCACTAACAAAACAACCACCACCACCGCCAAACAGCACACTCATTCAATATTTTAGAATACTGACATTTAAGAGATATGCCTGGACACTCAGTTTAATAAAATCTCTCAGATCAATATTGCAGATGGTGGAATGATGCATCATCCGGTTAAACAGAAAGCTCTGATGAACCTATTCCTACATAATGTCTTTTTAAACAAAAGACAACTGTTATAATGATTGTTTTGTCTCTGATAGTCACATGGTAAGAATTTGTGAACACGTTGAAACACTGTAAATAAATAGCTTTAAAAATCTATAAAAACTAGTCACAAAAAGTGAAAGTTGTATTTTTAATGGAAACTTGTGTGTAAGGGGATTGGATAAAATGAAAGATTTAATGGAAAAGCAACTGTTTTTGTTTGATTTTTTTCAATTAAATATCCAGCTCCCCCTTCAAACCATTACTATGTAGAACAGCCCAGTGGTTTGTCATGGCCGATATGCTTCCTCCAGCAATGGCCTGTTCTTCATGTTTTTTGTGGGGAGGGAGAGACCAACATCATGCTGATGGAACAACAAATTCTGTTAAGCCTCCTCACTCCACCCAGGGCACTCATGTGCTGGCATAGCATGACTGTGGTATATTTATGACTACATCCGAGTTCTTCATTGCCATTGGTTTTACATCTATGTAAATCCACTTATGGAAGCCAATTTGCATGGCTGAGAGTGAGGGAAGAATCAGGGCAAGAAGAATCCCAGCAGAGCAAGCTCATTCACATGCTCGGTAAAGAAAAAAAAAAGCCTCCCTCTGCTTTTACATTTGCCACCAGTCACTTTCATTGAGTGTCCCATTGCTCTAGTATTAATGGGGCTGGATGAGAGAGAGAACGAACAATCAATTTTACTCACCAATTTGTTATTTTGTATACCTGTCTCATGCTACCATTTCCTCTCCTGTGGTTGTTATTTATAGGCAAGCCACTACCCTCTTTGCTTTGTGTTTATAACCTTATATTTATATGAATCCATATTTCATGCTAAACCACAAACTTTTATTGACTGTGTAAAGTGTGGGACAAATTATAAGACCCTTAATCAGTGTTCACTCCTCATGCAGGAGTTTGCCTCTCTATAGCACCTTTTTACTCCATTGTGGGGTGCAATGGGGTCAGCACTCCCCTCATATGAGCGTTTCTGTATGGCTGAGCGCAGGTTCCTGCACTGCCTCAGTTTTAAAACCCTTTCAGCTACTCAACCCTCTGGCCAAGTTGCACGCTGTGTGATCACAAACCCCTTCTGGGATACTTCTCAAATAGAGGCCCATCCCAGTACCGTCTGTAAAGTCACTCTCACTGTTATGCCATTCCCTTGGTTTGTGAGCGGTGCCTCCAGGACTCTCCCTCCTGGAGAAAACTCCTTTGCCCTTAGCTCAGGGTTTTACTTCCAAGTCCATTGGTCTCTCAACAGCTCTCCACTGGGAGTTGTCCCTGGTTCTGCCAGCCACCCATCCCTGACCTTCTCCCTTCCAGATCTGGGCCTCTAGTCCTGCAGCTTCTTATATAGTCCCTCCTTCCCCTGATCAGTTGGTATGCTTCTAGCCACACTAGCCACCTGGAGGACTTCCCTATGGCCCTTTCAGCCTTAGGGCCTAGCCCCATCACATGGGATTTCATGTGCCAGGCTTCATTCAAGGACTCTTCTCCTTCCTGTGTTTTTATGGCCAGCTCTTGCGGCAATCTAAACCAGGAAGACCTATGACACAAGAACTAATCTCCAATATTCTAAACTAAGGCCCTTTCTGTGCTGGGATTTCAGC